GAAGAGACTGGATTATTTAGATACGATCAAAGATTAAAGGAAAACCCTGAAGCCACAGAGATCATCAGGGAAACTTGGCACTCAGTGACAGAGAAAATAGTTGCAGAGAGGATCAGTTTGGTACGCGGAGCTATCTCAAAGTGGAACAAAACAAAACAGACAAATAGTCTAATCCTCATAGAACAAAAGAGGGAAGAACTGGAGGAAGCACAGACAAGTACGGTGAACAACGTAAGCCTGATAAATTCAATATCTGAAGAACTAAAGGCGGCGTACAACGCTGAGGAAGCTTATTTGTGACAACACAGCCGTCTCCTTTGGCTGAAACTTGGAGACCGTAACTCCGGCTTCTTCCATGCCACAACGAAGAAGAGAAAGAGAGCAAACGATTTCTCAGTCATTGATGACCCATAAGGTAACCCTGTCTAAACGGAGGAGCGAATCTCAAAAGTGGTCATCCACTACTTTCAGAACCTCTTCACAAGCACACTGGGTGAAAGAGAAGAGATTGTGCGCCACTTAAATCGGTGATCACACCTGACGAGAATGACAAACTGAGCCTATTCCCATCAGCTGCAGAAATTAAGAGTGTTGTATTTACTATACACACGGACAAAGCCCCGGGACCGGATCGCTTTTCCGCATTTTTTCATTTCAATTGGGACTCCATTGGTCTGGATCTTGTCAAGGAAATTCAAGATTTCTTTGAATCTGGAACACTGCCACCAAAGAGCAACGAAACATTTGTCCATCTTATTCCAAAAACTCGAAGCCCCCGGACAGTGGCAGAGTATAGACCGATAGCTTTTTGTAACGTGTACTACAAAATCATTGCCAAGATCTTGACAAAGCGTTTCCAACCCTTGCTATCTTCCATCATATCTGAGAACCAATCTGCATTCGTTCTGGGTAGAGCAATCTTGGATAACGTACTGATCTCGCATGAAGTTCTCCACTATCTCCAAACTTCAAAAGCGGAAGTAAGATGCTCTATGGCAGTTAAGACGGATATGCGCAAAGCCTATGATTGTGATTTCATTCGCCTAGTTCTTGATAGACTCGGTTTCCATCCTCGCTGTATAACGTGGATCATGGAATGTAACACTATTGTTACCTAATCTTTCCTGATCAACGGCTCGCCTAGAGGAAGAGTTAAACCGACTAGGGTATCCGTCAAGGAGATCCCCTCTCACCATACATCTTTATCTTGTGTAGTGAAGTCTTCTCGGGAATGTATAACAGAGTTCAAAGAATCAGGCGCACTAGCAGGAATTCAGATTGCCCATGAGTGTCCAAGGGTAAACCATCTTTTATTTGCAGACAACACAATGTTTTTCATCAAAGCCAAGAAAGAGGATGCCAGTGAGCTGAGGAAGATACTAAGAAAGTATGAAGCCGCATCGGGCCAGTCCATTAACCTGGACAAATCTTCCATCACCTTCTCCAAGAAGACTCCAAGCTCTCTTAAAATCTGCATTTGCGACACACTAGACATTCAAATAGAGGGTGGAATGGGCAAATACCTCGGACTGCCCGAGCTGTTTGGTAAGAAGAAAAAGGATCTATTCTCATCAACTGTAGACAAGATCAAGGTCAAGGTGAGCAGCTGGTCAAATCGACATCTTTCAACAGCGGGACGGCTACTCATGCTTAAATTTTTTTCTCTCCCATTCCCGTCATACGCGATGAGCTTTTTCAAGCTTCCCGTCTACTTATGCGACAGAATTCAATCCGCATTGACGAAATTTTGGTGGGATGGAAGCAGTGAAACTCGGAAAATGGTATGGGTCTCATGGGATAAACCCGCTCAAAGGGAGAGGGAGGACTAGGTTTCAGGGATGTCCAATGCTACAACGACGCTTTTTTACTAAACTGAGCTGGAGACCCATCAACAAGCTATGGTTGGTATTTGGAGATTTTAATGAGATATTGGATGAGGAGGAACACTCAGGAAATGAAGACATGTCACTGGTGTTGAATGGGATGAGAGAATTTAAGTGTGGCAAACTATTGCTCGCTTCTTGACATGTCTTACCAAGGTCCCAAGCTCACTTGGAGCAATAAGAGAGATAATGACTTGATCTGCAAGAAACTGGATCGGACCTTGATGAATGATTCATGGTTGCAGAAGTTACTAGGGCTTGGAGAAGCTTTTTCTATCAAGAAAATCTCCAACTACTGATCAAGCCAAGTAATACCGGGGCTACAGACAAGCTTGTTTGGTTGGGAACAAGTTTCAGTGAGTACAGTACGAAGTCAGGTTACTGGACCGCCATGAAGATGCGAGGAGAAACAGAACCAGACAACCAGCTGACCTTGTTTGAATGGAACAAGAACATCTGGAACCTCAACACTGCCTCAAAGATTAAACTATTCTTGTGAAAAATTATGAATCAAGCTATTCCCGTGGGAGCACAATTGGCAGCTAGAAACATTGGAGTTGCAACAAATTGTAAGAGATGCGACAATGTTGAATCTATTAGTCATCTTCTCTTCCATTGTGAGTACGCACAAAAGGTCTAGTCTCTAGTCCCCTTTACTCACTGTCTGGAATCTAGAGGACTGGTAGGTTTTGCCTCTTGTTGGTCTGCCCTTTACAAAATGATATGTCTCTCACCCTCGGGTATTGTGTCGGGACCATTAGCCCCATGGATTCTATGGGCCATTTGGATTTCTAGGAACAACCTTCTGTTCAATAACAAAGCAACGCCACCAGAGGAAACTTTGAATAAAGCTTTTGTGGCGGCTCGGGAATGGTTGGGGGTGCAAACCGTCGAGGTTTCTATACACAGAGGAGCGCCAAAACCAACTAGTCAAGCGCCTGTGAACTGCAGTATTATTCATTCTGGTGCATCTTGGAATATGGAAAGTCTACTTGCAGGTTTTGGATGGACCATTGATACCAGAGGTGACAAGCGTCATACATGGCGCATTGCTACTTTGTCAGCTCAGTATTGGCGGCCGAGGCACTAGCATTGAGGGAAGCTCTGGCAGCATGCATCTAGAAGGGACTCCGTCGAGTGCACTGCAATTCCGACTCTCTCCAACTTATTAAAGCCATTAATTCAGGAAGTTCATACCTTGAAATCTATGGCGTGACTGCGGATATCTTCACCATGGACTTTCTATTAGCATTTACACCATGTAGACACTATGTTGGTTGCTTGTTCCGACATCGATTATGTCCGGAAAGTATCTTTTTTTTTTGTAACACAGACTTTTTATTCATACTTAAGCTTCAAAGTTCGGAGACGAAATTACATAAGGTTCATTCAGCAAGGCTTTCTTGGCCAAGGCATCTGCATCCTTGTTGTTACCATGCTGAATCCAAGAAAAGAAATACATTCAAAAGCCATAGAAAGTCTGAATCTCTGCACCGATTCTCTTAGAACTCCTGGCAAGTGCCACTTGTCAACTTATGGTTGGACAAAATCTTTTTTTTTAATAAAAAAAATATCTACATTTTATTTCTCAATTATAAACTTTACATGAGACTAAAAATATTTTGAAATTTTTCTATAAATCTTAAATTGAAATTATCTATCTAACAAGATCCATCATTCATATATTAAAATTATATGTTAGTACTATTTAAAATTAAAATGGTTGAAGTTTAATATAATAATAGTATATTAAGTTTTTTTTATTAATGTAATAGTACTAAAACTATAAACTTCGAAACTAAAATATATTATCAAAATTTGATATTTAAAAATAATTACCAGTTAAAATCTGATTCGACTTCATGCTTGAAATGTACATCACCAGTTAAAATCTGATTTGGTTGAGCAATTATGGCAAAATTTGGCACATTATCAAGTGAAGACTAAGGCATAGTTAATTATGATTTGGATTCTGGTTTATGTTTGTTTTTATAAGTTTTTATGTAATTTATGTTTGTCTGTTTTTAGTTCAGTTTTTATATAATTTATGTTTGTTTGTTTTTGTTATTTAAAATATTATAACTCTTTTACTATATCAGTTTTTAAAAAAAACCTTTTTACCAGTTTTAAACATAAAATTATTAATATGATTATTATTATTTATAAATAAATAAAATTAACTAATACAAATAAATAATTTTAGGTATAATTTCATATGTTTAAAATTTTATTTAGATTTAAGATAAAAATTTAAAAATATTTTTTAACTTCAATTACATTAAAACTAAATTAAAATAATAATACTATAGTGATGAAAACTTAGTGGGTATCTACAGTTGGAGCTAGCAATTTTAGTGTTATTTATCTTAACCTAATTTTTGCTTAACATAATGTTTTTGTATCAGTGAGATACTTAATGAGTATCTCACCGATAAGGGTGCTCTAAGGAGAGTATCTCTCCCACAAAGAATGGTTTAGAGTTCAAACAATGGTGGAAACTGGAACGTCCCTTCAAAATGATTTGACTTGTCTAGCAAGTATTTGTCTTTTAACTATATTATTAAGAAGACATTTCCTCCAATTTCTATAAGAGTCACAAAGACGTCACTATTTGTTCGATCCAATCTCAATATATTGTGGTGCTAATCTCAATCACAGAGACATAACAAATAAGAGTGCTATAGACAATAATAGTAAGAAGAAGAACTGTTTTTTAAGCCACATGCTCTAATTTTTCAACCTCACAGTGCTCAGTCCATGAGGCTCCACATATTTTTTTTGTATCTCCAGCATTTCACGTTAAAGCCTTGTAAATGTCAAGAATCTCCAGTCATGACCGTCGCATGCTTAACACCACAGCCTACGTCACTTTCTTCTCCCTCTGGTCTAGTGACGTTCCTAGTGTGGCTAAAGAGAGAGTACCAGTCCTCCGACGCTGATTAGAAGCAGTGGACGTCTTCCGTTTCATCTTATGATCTTATGATCTTTATATGTAATGGTGTAACTATGACTTGTAGTGTGTTTTCATTAGGGAAAATGTAGATATTACACAAGTTATATAAAAAGAAAAATAAATGTTCAATGACACTCAACAGACTTTAACCCTTACCACACCTATCATGATATCATTGGCACAATGGTGACATTTTTATTGTAAGAAAGTGTTGCAATCAGTTCTTCAGTCCTTCCACGTACTTTTAGCGTCTCTAAATCTAAATCAGGTGAGTTTTTTAACAGTCTTTCTATGCCAGGAATAACATACTGACAGATCTTTGTATCAAGAGTCAATGCTTTGACCTTGAGCGTCGGGAAAGGAGCATCACCAATCTTAGATAAAATCTAATAGAAAGAACCAAAAAAGAAGATTATGAATATTGATTAGTAACTAGCTAATGGCGTTAGCCTTTTCAAACGTTCTTAATCAAACCTATAGAATATCAATTAACTTCTAATGAGCACTACCAAGCCAACTGATTTTTAGAGATCAGAGAATGCAATAATTAACATGAGACCAAAAAAAACATAGAGGTACCTGAATAAAGCTGCTCCCAAGCTTAAGCTTCTCTGCGTTCTTCAACTTATCTAACATCTTTAACACCATGAAATGGAGAAAAGGAAAATTTAAGTCAGAGTTCAATGAGACAGAAGAAATTTCCAGCTCAGCCTCGGTTAAAGAAGCGACATCAACCAAAGTACATGACAACTCAGAGCTAAGGAATCTGAGATAATGGATGTGTGGTGCCACAATCTGTCTAGGCCCCCGAAGCGGAACCGTCATGTTACCTATTATTACTTCTAATGCTCTCAGACGTGGAGATTTTCCGAGATCAAGAACCTCTAGTTCACGGCAGTGATACAATGTTAACTTTTCAAGAACCGGACAACCGGATAGAATCTTGGCCATGGATTCATCAGAGAGTCTACAACAAGTCAACGATAACTTCTGCAAGGATGTCCAAGACACAGTGCACTCGGGTACAATCCAATGACGAAGGATTAACGTAATGTTGAGTTGCTTAATAGAAGAACTGCTATAGACGAAATCAGGAAACTTGAACTGATAATAATGACTTGAGATATCAAGGGACAGATTCTCAACGTTGTGTGACATGGCAAACTTGATCAACGTGTAGATGTATGACATGTTCTTCATTACATATTCTATTCTGAGGTGAAAACTCTTCGTCTTGGGAGCTGTGTAGCGAGTTAGGGTTTTGTTTACCGAAGCTGCAGTCGTCAGTGTACCAACAAATAAGGAGAGAGAAGGTACCTCGCACCATACATGCCTCCATCGTCTAGACAAGATGGAGGTACTGATGGCTAATTTGGTTGGAATATTAGAGCAGAGTATGTGTTGGAGGATCTCATCTGGTAAATTGCTAATCAAGTCTTCAGCTCCTTCGATCTCCCTGTCGCCCACCATCTTTGTTTGCGACATACTGTATATCCTTAGGGCAACTTTATGAAACAGATTTTGTTAGTGTATTTTATGAAAAACGTTAATATACTCACCTTTTTCAATTATTATAGATACTTGGCCTGTTAATGGGCTAAGGTTTCCAATCGATTTCTGTTATTGTTTGTTATACCAAAAGGTTTAGTCAGATAACCAAATCTTTCGTTGTGGTTTCAACTTATGCTTACGTAGAGTACTGGATCAGGTACGAACGCAAGACCTTTATATATAGAGTAGTTCTCTACAAATTATATACAATCTATACTTTTTTTTTTGTGCTAACTTTTGGAAATTATATATAATCTCATATTTCTCACTCTTCATATTTTCAAGATAACAATATAATGCATAAGTTATTTATTTTCTGAAAATATAATAGAGAAATTGACTAGGATAGCACTAAAAAGTTTTTGCACAAATATATCACTTAAAAATAAAAATGACCAAAATAACATTTAATGTTTTATCAAAAGAGATAAATATTCACCTATATCCCAATGTTAAATTAATTTAGGCATTAGGGTTTAGAGTTAAGGGGTGGATAGGGTTTATGGTTTAGAGTTTAGGGTCTAGGGTTTAGAATTTAGGTTTTAGGGTTTAGAGTTGGGAAGTGGGGTTTTGGAGATAAGATATCAATTTTTGAAAAAAAAAATTTCAAAAAGATAAAATACTATTTTGGTCAGTTTAGTTTTTTTAGGGTTATTTTTGTGACATAAATTTAAAAATGTGCTATTTTGGAGGTTTTCCCAATATAATATGATAATTTTTTTAACTATATAATAATTCTATAAGATTATAGAAATTATGACATACAATTAAAATTACCTATAATCATTGAGAACTTAAAGAATCAGCAAATTCACTTCTTAAATAAATTTTCTTGAGTGATGATTTATATTTAATTAATAATAGATAATTTTCTATTTTACTTTTAAGTTGTATAATATAAAAATATATTTTCAGGATAACAACATAATACATAAGAATTACCATATTCTCTAAAACTATAACATTATTAGTGTAAATTTGTTTCAATTATAGAATAACTACAACTTTTTATAACTTAATTTTAAATTTCTAATACAAAAATATATTTTCAAGACAGCAACTTAATACATAAGAAGTATCTTATTTTCTAAGAATCTGATACTATTAATATAAATTTGTTTTAAATATATAATAAATTATATATAAATTATATAAATTGATAAGTAATCAAAATTACCTAAAATCATGGAAAATATGACAAATCATCAAACATCAAATTCACTTCTTAAATAACATTATAGATTTTTAAATATTAATTTTAAATTTTATAATAGAAATTATTCTTTCAAAATAACAACATACTCCCTCTGTTCCTAAAAGATCTATATTCTAGTTTTTTCACACTTTTTAATAAAACACAATAAATTTGCATAGTTTTTTGTATTTATCTTCTTTCCACAATTTTAAACCAATGAAAAATCATTTAGTGCAATTAAGTTTTTTGAAGTTTACAATTAGTTAATAAAAATTGCATTGAAAATGTAAAAAATGGATCTTTTAGAAACAAATTTTTCTCTAAAATATGTATCTTTAAGGAACGGAGGGAGTAATACATAAGAATTAAATTATTTTTTAACAAAACATATTATTAATATAAAATAGTTTTAATTACATAATCAACAATAAAAAAATTATAGAAATTCTGATAAATGATCAAAATTACCTAGGATCATGAAGACAAATCAACAAATTCATTTTTCAAATAATTGTTTTAATGATTTATATTTAACTATGATTTATATTTAATTATTAATAATATAATTTTTATATCTTAATTTTAAGTTTTATAATAGGAAAATATATTTCAACATAACAACATAATCCATAATGATTATCTTATTTTATAAAAATATTAAATTATTAATATAAATTCGTTTTAGTTATACATAAATATTAAAATATGATAAATAAAAAAAATTACCTTATGAATAACATGACAACTAAGAAAATTTACTTCTTAAATAATAGTATAGATTTAAACATTAAATTATTAATATAAATTTGTTAAAATTTAACTTTTATATATAAAATATATTCAAGATGACAACATAATTCACAAGAATTATCTTATTTACTAAAGATATGATATATTCATATAAATTTGTTTTATTTATAAAAAAAATATATATAAATATTAAAAATATGATAAATAAACAAAATTACCTAAACTTATGGAGAACATGAAAACTAAGCAAATTTACTTCTTAAATAATAATATAGAAAACAATTTTTAAAAAAAACTTATTTAATACTAATTTTTCTTTTCTAAAATCATAAAAAAGATAAATTAAAAAAAAAACTGATAGTAATTATCCTTTAAAAATATTAAACCATAAAATTGTAAAAGAGTGTTTAATATTAATTTTTTAAATCCTAATTAAAAAGATCATAAACCAAAAGGAATTACAATTATTTATATATATAAGACTAAGCTCTCTCATATTTTGCCATTTCTCATATTTGATCACCAAACATAATTATTGATTTAAGAAAAATATTAAGTGAGTTTTTTGCATGGTCTTTCACATTGCCGCGTGTTATTTTTTTTAGTTATGATGTTGTACAACGTAAGCTAACGTCTGTATTATGTTCATGTGTGTTTTTTTGTATTGACCCTTAGAAATTGGGTATGCTAGGTAAGTTAATGGCAACGCACTACTTTAATACGTTTATTTATGCTTGTGTGTGTTTGTTCTATTTATTATTTCTAACTAAAAATGTAATTCAATTTGCTACCAGGAATGTTATAAAAAACAATAGCTTCAGAAAGTTATTTAACACCAGATCAGTTAACTAAAAAACTTCTTTACCATCGTAATGCAGTACGTCTTACTAGAAACCGGATAGTTAAACAAGAACAATGAGATTATAGGGACGAATTTTCTTCTACTTGATGAGAATGTAAATATTTTATTTATTAACAAAATTATATAATTTCATTATTAAAATAATTTGTTTATTATGTAGGAAAATACTATTAGGTTATGTGCATTATTATCTTATTGAAAAATTGGGAGGTGGGTTACGTGAAAGAATCCTTATTGAAATCTGCAATTTTAATTTGTAAAATTGCAATAAAAATATGAACTTTCAGATCTTAAATTTCAGATAAGATTAAACAAAAGATTTTGCTCAAGCACCGTCTGAAAATGTTCTTTTTGAAATTATGAAGATTTTGCTCAACTGAAATATTTCATACGATTTATATGGTAATATTCCTAATTTTATATCAGTTTTTGTATTAATTTGGTTGTCGAACATTGTATATTTTTATCAATTGATTGGGTATTTGTAATGAATTTTGTTTGAAATAACATTATTGTATAACACGATTTTGTTACAGATGTAATCGGATATATAAATATAGAGAAAATAGATGTTCGAAATACGACACCAAATGTCCTCTGAAAAGTTATTCTAATTTCATTGTGATGAAGATATTATTTTTAAATTTAATTCTATTAATGAGATTGTAACTATAAAATAAATTTCACATAACTTGTGCAAAAAAACCTAAATCTATAATAAAATTATTTATTATTTTTATGTTATATAATAAATTAAAATATCAAACAAAACCTGTTGTAATGCATGGGCCTTATCTAGTACTCCCTCTGTTTCTAAATAAGTGTCACTTTAGCCTTTTAATTTTGTTTCAAAAAAAGTGTCATTCTACGATCCCAATGTAATTTTGTACATTAAATCTATTTTTTACCCTTTTGAATAACCAATAGTATTTTACTTAAATTATTTTCATTTAATTAAACATATATTAAATAAGGATATATTAGTCTATTATACAATTTTCTTAATTTATGTGCAAAGAGTCAAAATGACACTTATTTAAAAACAGAGGGAATATAATATAAAAGATTGGAAAACTTTATGTGTAAAACCCTAATTTGTATTTACGCCGTCTCACGACAAGAGAACCGCGACGATGTCCATGTCCATGCTCTCAGATGATTTGGTAGAGGAGATACTCGCTAGGGTTCCAGCTACATCTCTAATACTATCACGATCCACTTGCAAACGATGGAACGCGTTATTCAATGATCATAAATTCACCAAAAAGCACTTTCATAAAGCCCCCAAAGAGTCTCTGGTTCTCTTGAGGGTGGGGCTTGAAGTTAATTTAGTGAATCTCGATCTCAGTGGATTTCGGAACAACACTAATCCATCTATGGAGCTTGAAGGTGATCAATATGGCATCTTTGGCAACATATGTCCAGTTTCTCACTGCAACGGATTATTGCTAAGCTACAAGAGGAACACGGAATACAACAATAGATTCTGGAACATGGAAAAAACACTCATTGTTAGTAACCCATGCATGGGGCAAATCAGGTCGATCGAAACCAGGATTGGTTTCAGAAAATGGGAAGACATTGCTCTTGGATACCAAAACGACAAATCATGTATTGCCAGCTACAAAATTTTGATGTTTGGTTGGAGAAGCACACCGGGTGACTATGTGTTTGACATCTATAATCTTAGCTCTAACTCATGGAGGATGCTTCGTGATCTATCTGATGATGACTGGTACGTAGGACCTCACTGTCGTGGCGTATCTTTCAAGGGAAATACTTATTGGATTGCTTTAGATAAAAAAGACTACTTCGATACCTTTTTGCTGCAGTTTGATTTTACTAAAGAGATATTTCAACGTTCGCGTCTGCCGTTTAAGTGTGATTGTGACTACGATACTGTGGTGCTATCAAATGAAAGAGACGAGCAACTTGCTGTGTTTCTTCGGAGACAATTTGAATCAACAATGGAGGTATGGTTAACCAAAAAGATTGGTGATGATGAGAGCGTGCCATGGAGGTTGTTGTTTAGAGTGGATTCAGGTTATAATAATAAAAGTACGCTTAATCAGCATTTTATGAGTTTCATGGTGGATGAGGAGAATAAGGTAGCACTATGTTTTCTTGACGAATGCATTGAAGAAAATTGCGATAACCAGAGAACCATACTTTACGTTGTTGTCGAGGGTAGTAAAGTCATCAGACTCATAGGACCTCCAGACCCACATTGGAATCGTAAGCCGATGCCTTATCTCTTTAGTTACGTTCCAAGTTTGCTCCAAATTTAACTCAAAAAAAAAGTTTGCTCCAAATTTGTTAGCAAAACAAATAGTTTGCTCCAAATTTAATTAAGCAAAAGAACAATAAAAGTCTTTACATGGTTATATATTCTTTTAACAACATTCTAATCTTCATATATATTAAAAGAGAAGTCATGACTTCATTTTATGTGTGATATTTTAAAATGGACTATCTACTAGAATTTATAACAATACATTATTCAATCATTAATCATTTATTGGGTTTACCAGAACTTTTTATTGGGCTAATAATAATTAGGTGATCCATTGGATTTATAGATAGTATAATAAAATACATGTTTAAATTAAATTTATATAATTTAATGTTGTAATAGTATAAGTTAATTATTTATATATTTTTTGATGTTAACTTTTAAAATTATATAATTTTTTTTTAAAAATAATAAAACCATCATCATCGTTTTCTAACAATAATTAATCTATAACCTTAAACCAGGGAAAACAATTTTTAAATTATATTGTTTACTTTAAAAAATAACAAAAACTAATTGTTTAATTATATACTCCATAATGAAACTAACAGTTAAAACTTTGTTAAACTTTATAAATTTGAGAAATGTTACAATATCTTTAGAGATGACAATAAAACAATATTTTACCAATCTTTACATATATTTAAAAGTTCAATAATGAAATAGTAATCCAAATATATATATATATATATAGAAGATACAAATACATGTGAAAGTTTTAAATAATGTATGCGATGAAAATTAATATATGGTAAAATTCTTATTTTAAAAAAAAAATCGATATACACACCTCATATAATTTATACCAATTTCAAAGTGAAACCAAAATATTTATATAAAAATAAATGAAAACAAATACCCGCACGGTTGTGCGGATTGAGATCTAGTTATATATTAAAACAGAAGTCATAACTTCATTTCATGTGTGTTTTTTTTTAATGGATCTTCTCTAACGAGTTATATTTCATTTACTCCTTATTAACATTTAATAACTTATAAATTTATACATTCGTTACGTATACTATCTATATTTACGCTAAGAAATGGTTCCATTTAACAAACATATTTTTGCATCATCAATGAATCACACACGACAACCTTGACATATATATGCTCAAAAATATGCCTATTCATCATTTAATAGGTTTATACAATTCATATGCAAAACACAATCGGATTGAACCAATTCTGACCATCATTTATAATACATGATTTGCTTGAATATTCAATATGTCCTGTTTATATAGTTATTAAACAAATGATACTGATCATCATATGATATATCTAATACATTACTAGCTTGATTATTTCTAATACATTAGTACATATTATACATATACTTTATAATTGCTACTTACATAAATCATAAACAAAACTTGAACCAAGTACATGCTATACATATACCAAAATATGATCAACGAAATGGTCCAAAACCAAGTACTTATATGAATTTATTAGTGAAGATATCTTCAAAATTAGATTAACAATTTTTTTATCTAAATATTCAGGACTTAACAAACTTGCTCAAATCTAGAACACGGTTTCAATATACGAATATTCCAAACAATATTATCTATATTCCATAAAATTCACATAATTCTATTAGTACCAAAATATGCTCTCAGACCTTAACAAATGCACACAATATCTAATTTAAAATTTTCCATAATCTTATCTATTGCCAAAGGTAAACTCACAAAACATTTTAAATTGGTATTTACATGTAAATATTTTATCTAAATAATATCTTATATATTAAATAGAAGTCATAGTCTTGATTCATTTATGATATTTTTAAAAATAGACCCTCACTAGAAATCAGTTATCATTTATTCATAATAATATGACTTAATAATATTTCATTCCTAATATAACAATCGACTCTTATAAAACCGGATTTGTTAACAAACACATATTTGATTCTTTAATAATATACGTAATGGTAATGTAAACCATCGTATAATTCAAAATACTGAACTGATTTAAATAATTCAACCAATGTATATATAATGGTTGTATAAATATCTTATCTATTAAAATAGAAATCATGACTTCTTTCATGTGTGATTATTTAATTTGGACCATATTTTGAACTACTTTAATCATAATATTTTTTTATTTCTTTTCATTTTAAATATAAATATATTTTTAAAAAATAAATTAACAAATCTGTGTAAAATATTTTTTAACAAGACTTAATATCCCAAAATTTTGAGTAAATATTTTAATAATTCATAATTAGCTTTAAAATATTATTATACATTAATATATTGTATAAAAATGTAGAATAAAAGTTTACTAAATATGATAAATTATATTAAATTATTAGATTTATATATTTTATTTTCAGAAGTTTTCATGTTCGAAATATAACATGTTGGTAACAGAGGTTAACATTCGCAAACTATATAATACATGTATAAAATAACATGTATTTCATTAAAGCTAATAATATAAAATATTTGTAACTATTTTAATTATGACATCTTTTCATTTTAATATAAATATATATATATATATACATATGTATATATATATATAATTCTAAAAAATCTGTTGAAAAATATTTTAACGATATCTTAATTTTCAGGAAGTTTATGTAAATATTTTAACTATTTTTTTTAATTAGCAATGAACTATTATTATGCATTAATATATATTCAATTATCATTTATAAAAATGTAACATAAAAATTATATCTTATTTTTATCTATTTTATAATAATAATTCAGGTTAAAATAAAATTATTATATTGACTTAGATATGATAAATTATATTAAATTGATAACTTTATAATTTTATTTTAATAAATATATAATATTTATACTAAAAATATGATACGGTGACATAACGAGTTAACATTCGCAAACTATATGATACATGTAAGAAAATTGATATATCTTAGACTTTTGTATATACAAAGAATTTTTTTTTTAATTGAATAACGTGAAAAAATATGTCTAAAAGGAAATATGACTTTCAAGGTTTGCGGGTCAAAACTGAATATAAATTTGATACAAAATAATTTTCAAATATGCTGTTTCATGCATATATTAATTTTTTTAATAACTAAATCGAAATATATTAACATAAATATATAATAAAAAGCGACAAATACATGTGATGATTCTAAACTATTGATTATTTACACCATGTAAACTATATAAATATTATATTTAAAATATGTATATCAACATTTAAACATATGGTTAACGTTAAAAATGTATACCACTAATGAACTGATATATATTTATTTCTAAAACTGAAAAAAACACATGCGCGGTTGCGGGGGTCAAAATATAGTATTAATTCTCTAGATATTATATGAAAATTTATTTGACATATGTAATCATCCCAATCATTATAACAAATAAATAATGACATGGATTCTATGTAATTATTACATGGCTTAAAACAATTATGACATAAATTTCAATAATAGAAATTTAAATTTAAAAAATAAATATATGGTAGTTGCCATTATTTAAAATATATATATATAAGTAAAATATACTAAATCTTAGATAAAATCTTCTATAATAAAGTAAAATTTTATCTTTTCAAAGAGGTAAAATCACTTTTTATTGCACCAAAAAAAGATCATTGAGAATCAAATTTCCGACAGATGAAGGAATTATATTGGAAAATCTACAAGAGGGATTATGAGATCCTGGAGGACTTTTACTTTTTCTTGAGTATTAGGAAATAACAATGTTCATTAATATAAAGTGTGAGAAAAGTTGGAGTAGTGATCCTAAAGCCATTCACAAAAAGGATTTCTCAGTTACACTCTTCATACAGAAAGCACCAACGACTAAAAAAAAACTATTGATGTATGTGATGATATGAAATTTTGTGAAACCAAATCATGTGAACAGTTAGATGAATAGAAAAACTACTTTACAACACTCCACTGTAATCATTATGTTTGACTTTTTTTTTTTGATGAAATATTAAATTTATTAACCATCATAAAAAAAAGAATAGTTATGTATACAAATATTCTATAAACTAAAAGTTGTTATAAAAGCTCATATCCTAACTCATGTGAGCACTACACCACCGCTGCATCAGTCCCAGTAACCCTTTCTTCTCATAGTATCGGGTGAATGTAATCCTTTGTCTTATTGTCTTCTCTATCATTCTTGCAAGTTGGCTTGCTGGTCGACTTATTATGTTTGATTATGGTATATTATATACATATATATATTTTGCCCAAAAAAATATACATATATAAAAGTCTTTTTCATGCGAATAAAGTTTAGTATTTTTTTTTCTTTTGTTTTTTTCTTTTGAATGAAAAGTTTAGTATTTTTCTCATTTAAATAAATAATAAATGAGAAAGTTCTCAATGACTCTTTTCTCATGTAAATAAAGTTGAGTTTTTACAGAAAAGTAGAAACAATGCGTCAGAGAGAAAAATTTCTCAATATTTGAGAAAGTAGAACAAAGCATATTTGAGAAAGTAGAACAAAGCATATATATGCTCATGGGTGTTTTAAGCAAATTAAAGAAACTTACGGATGAAAACGTAAGAAAATGGTAAATAAGGGTATCTCATGTAGTTTCGTCGTTTTCATAAGAAACAGGCAAATCTGGGCTCTTTCTCTCTATCTCTCTCTGTCTCGTTGTCACTTACGCAACACTGCCTTCTTCAACTGTCACTCTCTCTCAGGCGACTTGCCATTGACCCTTTAGTAAAGTCTCTTCCTTTCATCTCTATTCTTGGCCATAATGCTTTACAGACAAGCTCTCTTCCTCACATTCATCTCAGTTCTTGGAAACCATCTCCCTTCACCAACAAAAGCAGGTTTATCCTTCATTTTGAGAATCTTCCTTGAAAAATTTCTTCCAGGGTAGCATTTAATGGCTCAAGACTAGATTAGGAGAGATAACTACTGATTTCTTGAAAAAGTATTAACCTTTTGTTAGTGATTTGATTCTTAAACTAGCCTTTAGTGGTTCAAGACTAGATTAGGAGAGAGATAACTACTAATACTAATCTTGATTTCTTGAAAAAAGTTTTAGCCTTTATGGTTTTGAGAATCTCTATGTGCATTATTCGTTAAGTTCTTTTGTTTCCTTTGTGGTGTTTTACAGATTGTCCATTGGACTTAACTTCATCCAACTTCACACTCGTTGCCTCCGTCTGCTCAAACACTTCCAACAGAGCCAAATGCTGCCGCTACATGAACGCTTTCGTCGCTGTATCCGTCTCTCGCTACGCTAACTACACCGCAGATCTTGGAGTCACACTAGACTTAACTTCTATCTGCATCACCACCATCTCTAGAGCCATGGCACTCTACGGAATCCCAACGAACGCAACTCTCTTCTGTGGACTAGGCACCAAGATTCTTGTTAACTATGACTGTGAAGGTCTCACCACTGTAACACAAATGCTTCAGTCCCCAAAGTTTGGTGAAGTTTCTAGAAACTGTAAATTACCGCTTCTTCATTGCAAGAGTTGTTTGAACTCTGGTATCACTTACATTCGTAGTTTAGTGGATAGAGGGAATAATATTAAGATGAGTACTTGTAGAGATGCAGCCTATGCTGCTTTAGCTAGCCGTGGCGACACTTCTTCAGCTCTTGAACTCGCTAGCTGCTTCTTTAATGTCTCTGAGCTTAGCACCACTCCATCTTCGTTGAGTCCAGAAGCTTCTCCAGTTCCGGTTGTAGCTGATAGTCCAAGTGGGGATGATCTTGTTTTGTCTCCAAGGAAAAGTCACCGTGCTTATCACTTGACAGTGGTTCCAGCTATTGGGATTGCTGTTACAGCTTTTTCTGTTATGATGCTCGCTGTACTAATAGTTCTTATCCAAAGAAAGAAACGGGAGCTTGATGATGATGACTCCGAGAGCACTGATCATAATCCAACTAAGACGCTTCCTTCTCCCCGCCCTAAAGTGATGATTCATGAAGGTGTGGAGATTCTTGTAGTTATGTTTTCAGAAAGTGAAAGAGACAGACATGTGTTTTTTTTCTTTTTTTGCAGGTAGTTCGTTGGCTTTTCGGAAATTTAGCTACAGGGAGATAAGGAAAGCTACTAAAGAGTTCAGCACGGTGATTGGTAGTGGGGGATTTGGGACTGTTCATAGAGCTGAGTTCAGTGATGGGTTGGTTGCAGCTGTGAAAAGGATGAATAAGAGCTGTGAACAAGCAGATGGTGAGTTTTGCAGAGAGATAGAGCTTCTCGCCAGGCTGCATCACCGCCATCTAGTTGCTTTGAAAGGCTTTTGTACTAAAAAGAATGAGAGGTGAATGATTATTAAACTTTCTTTCTCTTCATGTCTGTGAAAGATATTTGGATTGTCCTAACCTGAGAAACTTCCAGGTTCCTTGTCTACGAGTATATGGCAAATGGGAGCTTGACGGATCATCTACATTGTATGCTCATGACTCCTTAACTTTCTTGTTATGTTATAGACTTGGATTGACAATCTTTAACCTTGTTTTTCATTTCTGTGTAGCCACAGAGAAACCTCCACTTAGTTGGGCAACAAGGATGAAAATCGCAATTGATGTGGCTAATGCTCTGGTATATTTTTCATAAAACCGATAAGATATGGTTCTTATTAGTGTTCTGTGATCTTAGTTGTTGGCTGGATTTTTTTCTTTCTGTTCCTTCAGGAATATCTTCATCTCTACTGTGATCCACCTCTCTGTCACAGAGACATAAAGTCAAGCAACATATTACTCGACGAGAACTTTGTTGCTAAGGTGTGTTATACATCACATATCTTGCTCATTTACTTGTCTATTAGTTTCACCTAATAAGGAAACTGATTTTACTTTTGCCTTCTATGTTGCTTTTACCATGCAGCTTGCAGATTTTGGCCTTGCACATGCTTCCAGGGATGGCTCCGTTTGTTTTGAACCTATTAATACAGATATTCGTGGAACTCCAGGTCTGGATTCAAAGGAACATCACCTATTCTTATCTTGAAAGCTCAATATAAAAAGACTAAAACAGTGAAATCTGTGAGTTTCAGGCTATGTAGATCCAGAGTACGTTGTAACACAAGAACTGACAGAGAAGAGCGACGTGTACAGCTACGGAGTGGTGTTGCTAGAGATCCTAACAGGGAGAAGAGCTGTTGATGAAGGTAGGAACCTGGTGGAAATGTCTCAGCCTTTACTGGTATCAGAATCAAGACGCATAGATTTGGTAGATTCGAGAATCAAAGACTGCATAGATGGTGAACAGCTGGAAACAGTAGTTGCGGTTGTGAGATGGTGCACAGAGAAAGAAGGCGTGGCAAGGCCATCAATCAAGCAAGTCCTGAGGCTTTTGTGTGAAAGCTGTGATCCGTTGCATCTGGAGCTTGCAATGGCGGTTGAGGAGCACAAAGGGAGGTCACTGAGAGGTGACTTGGCTTCTTCCTCTAGCACTACTTCAAGGTCGCATTGTAGCAGGAGTTTCTTGCTTGAGACAGGCTCTCCACCAAATGGTCTCTCCTTTTGAGTCAAGTCACTTCTATAAATTTGGCATTTTGGATCATCAACTTGTTTTTTAGTTGCAGTTTTGGAAGATAAATATGTTTTCTAACAGAGTCGAGAGTGATTTAGTGGTCATGATATATATAAACAACGATGTCTTCATAAACCACAACAAACAAGGAAACACAAAAGATAGGGCTATCATCTAAACCTAGACTAATGTAGGCCAGGGAGCAAAATATGTTTTTATGCGCAATGAAAAGTTCTCCTACTCTGTAACCTAGATTTCCACACAATTGTTCATAATCTCCTGTACAGGTAGCACTACTCTGTAACCTATTACATTAATCCCATGCCAAGTGGTGTCTGGTTTGATCAGTTCTTGTTGCTTCGTTCTTATATTACCACGGACCAGTTAGTGTCCTTCTCAAGCATTGCCTTTTGCTGCCCCACGGTTTCTTCGACGATTCCTTCAGCTGCCAATTCAAAAAGCAGTAGTAGTGAGAAACATAATCAAATCCAGGATGAGGCCACTCAAAAGGAAGAGGGGAGAAGCAAACAATGTTTGACTTAGAGATTCAGCTTCAGCCAGTAAATGTTCGTTTTGGGACCAACAATTATTACTCGACTACAATCTGGATACCAGTAACCATTAGACCTTTAATGTTTTCTCAATTTGGTTCTTATGATGCTGCAGCGTCAATTTTATGTACTTTGTCGATTAACTTATAAAAACTAATAAAGTTCTCAAACAGTTACCTCATTCTTCTGCATTTCCATCATTTCAGCCTGTAACATAAGGAAAATTTCCGTTTCAGAACCAAGCGGCCATTATAATCTGAGAGGGAGGAACAAAGAAACAGTGATATGTTGTAAATGCCGGAAACGAAAGGTACCTGTTTTCTCTGCAATTCTTGATTCACTTTCTTGAGCTTTTCAATTTCAGCTTCCAGTTCCAAGGTATAAGCCTGCATTTATTTAATGGACAATGGAAGATAAAAACATCTTAGTGCTACAAGTGGTTCAGAATAGAAAAAAGTCTTCGCTGGTTTTATGTTTTTGTGCAAGATACGACTTCAAAGTTCAAACCAAACAAAAGGCTATATAACAGTTTAGTATGGTTAATACTCACCTGCTTTCGAGCTCTTGATCTAGCAGCTGATTCTCGGTTCTTGATCATTCTCCTTTGCCTCCTCTCGATAACCTTCTCCAGACCCGTATTGCTTCTTCTTCCTCGATTAAGCACATAAGGAACTGGTGACAGAGAGTTATTTTCTGCGCTGCTTGTCCCTGGAGACGTTGCTGCAACAGTAACCCCGGCTCCTCCGAAATTAGCTAATCCATTAGAGTTGTTGGAAGCCCCATTAAAATTCTTGTTGACCATACCCACCGGCCCAGCAAATGCTACATTTGCTTGTTTAGGAAAAATGGTCTGAGGCACCCGCTGCTGCTGCTGTGGATGTGGCTGATTCAGCTGCTGCTGTTGTTGAAACTGCTGTTGTGGCTGCTGCTGCTGCATTGTCCCACCCACTTTAAGGCCTTGATTCAAGATCATAGAATCATTAGTTCCATTGTTGAAAGATATGCTGTTTTGATTTGGCTGACCAAACTCAAAGCCTAATCCCCCAGCAGCTCCGTTGTTACCATAAAACCCATTGTTATTGTTTCCAACCTGACCCATCTGCTGTGAAGAGTTGTTAACTTCTCTTACAACACCAGCGCGGGACAGAAAATCCTCAAGTGTCATTTCCCCTAAAGTCTGTTGTCTCTGAGGCGCATTATTAGACTCACCACCGCCACCACCTCCGCTGCTACCTCCCATATTATTACCGTCTTTGATCAAACATTTCCAGACCTCATCAACGGTCTTCTGACTAATCGTTCTAGGCAACGTCAACGAGCCTTGTCTATGGAGATTCCCACCACCAGGAGGTTGGGATACTGATGTAGCAGCAGCTGAAGAAGTCATGGTCATGCCCATGGCCTGAGCTTCATCTGCAGTCCATATGATCTTCAAGAGTTCATCCATGTTCATTGACCCGAAATCTTTTCCCGGCCCACCTAGTGTGTTACTGCTCTGGAGCTCATCAAAGGTTAGTGAGTAAAGCGAGGACTGTCTCGGCAAGGGATTGGCAGTATCTGTTGCCTTCATCTGGTTAAATCCTTCCCCACCACCACCGCCTCCTAGGCTGTTGAAATTGATGTGAGTTCCCATTTTCTTTGTGTTGGTTCACTCCTTATTCAATGAAACCAAAAGCTCAAAGCCCTGAACCTTTCTTTTAGCTTCCTTTTGAGAGGTAAAAGACCAAAAAAAATCGAATCAAAAGTAAATAAGTTAGAGTGGATAACACAATGCTAAGAGTCCATGAACTAGAGAAGTTTCAAGGATATTAAAAAGGACTGAGCTAAGTGACACATAATGCATGTTTCACAACCATATAGCACAAAACTGACAAATGTACAAATGTAAAAGCAAAGTAAAGCTAATCAATAATGAAAGATATTTGGATAACGTTATGCAATTTAAAAAAATAAGTTGATGACTTGTTGAGCAAAATGAATTCATACCAGATACAGTGTGTTCACAAAGATCATAAATATGAACATATCAGCAAAATTATTAACAGAACACTTGTCACATCTTGTCTGTATCTTCAGAGGATACTCAAATTATATTAAGCAAAGTTAATGCAGGAAGAAACATCAATAAAACTTGATTGCTATAACCCTTTGATGAACAAGCATGAGAAAGATCTATTAGAAGATCCCAGATGAAAAACCAAACCCATTTCTCTTAAACAATCGATCGAATAAAGAAACCCTAGAAAATAAAACCTAATAGCAACAAGAATCAGATCCACAAGACTCTCTTTGACTCTAATTTCACTACCAAAGGTTACTTATTTACTATAATCTGATTCAGACACACACACACACAAACAACAAAACGGAACAGATATTAAGCAGAGAAGAGACAGGCGAAGTGGATAATCCGACAAAGACAGATCTAGGTCTAATAATAATTTAAACTGTATCTTTACCTAAATTAAATTTCTCGAAAATTTAGATTCTCGCGACTGCGAAAAACACCAGAGAAGCTGCTGGGAGAGACGACAAGTGTGTTGTTGCCGTCTCGACACGATCAGCCATTTTAAAGGGTGTAAGCTTTTTTTTTTCTTTTCCCAAATTTTCTTATTTTCCTTAATTATTTTATTTGGTAATTTTATATTCATTATTTGTGTCAACATAGAGCTACGTGGACGAATGATAAAAAGGTTCTTAATATTTTTAATGTTTTTAATAAATCAACCAATTAGAGAGCGTAACGTGAGCAATTTTTGGCCGTTCGTTTTGTGTTTGCCTTCCGACATTGAGGATTCGAGTGGTTGGAGATCATGCTTGTATTTTTTTTTTTCTGAGTTAAATCATAACGTTGAATATTCATTATTTTGCTAATTACTTATAAAATATTAATGTAGTTACAAAATGGTTGACGATAAGGATGGATCTGTTTTTTCAACAATTTACTAATTTCATCCACTAGATAAGACTACATAATTGTCCATATTAGACAAGATATTATCCATAAAAGATAAAAAAGGGAGAGAAGACTATAAATCTCACAAAAGTGATTTAATGTTAACCAGATGATAATATAGATTTATGATATGGATTAGTTTAAGTTTCATTGCGATCTAGGATAATATGTTACATTATTTTGTGTACCTTTTATCATATAGAAGTGGTGGTGCTTTCTTTATGAGTGCTCATTTTGGTTACAAGCCAATGGAAATATAACACCACGCTTTTAAAACAGAACAGTAAAGAGCACTGTTGCGTGGACTCTAATCATCACTTCCAGATACAGAAAATTTGATTATTTCCTCTTTTGGAAATTAATTACAATATTTACTTTTGATTTTTTTTTTTATGTTATAAGAAGAGAAGCATCTACTTTTGCCATGTTAGACCGACGTTATTAGAGTGAGCATTATACAACCATGTTACAGTCTCAATATAAGTTAAGTAATCATGGCCGTTCGCCACCGCACATACACATTAACAAACACGATAATCATTTGGTTACTGAACCCTTACCGGCTACTGAGTTCGACCTAATACCCAAAAGACTATGTAGTGTTCAAAATCTGTAAACTTGGTTACTTCTTTTAACAGCAATCTGTAAACTTGTACTATTGTGTTGTAAAGCAACATCTCTCTTGAGGAAACTAGCTGCCCAATGCATCATTTACCATCTCTGGAAGCAAAGAAACAATGTGCTGCACAATCACCTTGGGCAGCTAGTTTCCTCAAGAGAAATGTTATAACTTAAACGATGCATATAATTGTTTTATTCTACTTTTTTGCCAAGGTGTAACATAATCTAGATCTACATTTCTTGTAAATCTTCTTTCATTTATATGATATTTATCTTTTAGCAAAAAAAAAAGAATGTAAAGCAACTCGAGTGAAGTGATAACTAGAATTTATCTCCTTTAACGCTATGACAAAAGGCACACACAGACCACAACAAAATTATATACAAACTATCAATTGTTCTCAAAGTTACACTAGTGCTCTGATTCACATACCAAATGATGGGTTTGCAGATCTCTTTCACTGCTCAAGGGTTTAGCTTTAAAAAGGGTTTGGAAAACATGCAAGTTTACTACTGAATGTGGTATGTTATTGTGTTTATAGTTCAAAACCCGGTGAAAAGAAAAAGTTTAGGCCATGTTTCTGGTATAAACGTAGACTAGTTCAAATCCAAATAAGATTATTGCCCAAACTCTTTTTTAAAGAAAACATAGGTTATGAACCTTCCGCTTCACATGGTTTAGCGCCGCCTTGGGCACTAAACTAAAATTCGTTTACCTGTTCTTTGATTTGATTCGATTCGGATTGAATTATCCATGTTCTTTGCAGTACAAATATTCATTTAAAAAAATATATTCACTTTTATATCGAAACATGGTTCCAAACAAACACATTCCATCCAAAAAAAATGTATTGAATGTAATAAAATACGTATAGACCATCGCATGCGGCCATGAACATGAAAAGAACATGACTTCGAAAACCAAAGACATCAACTTTATCCTTCAAACAATAAACCCAATCGCAATTCTTCAAACCCATTTGATCGAAAACAACAATCATCGATGGGCGTGTTCTCCAATCTCCGAGGACCCAAAATTGGATCGACCCACGAAGGCTTACCTGTAGCCAATGCAGACTCTCCTTCATCTCTCAGGCGTAAAGTTTCGACCTTTTTGGCAATCTGCGTAGCCATCGTCGTCCTCGTCGAGATCGCGTTTGTGGGTCGTCTCGATAACGCTGCTTTGGTCAATACGTTGATGGGTTTTGTCACCAAGTCGCCTTCGGGTAAGCTATCTCCGACTAAACCGAAAGTTGTGTCGGGAATGGAGAGGTGCGAGGAGTGGCTGGAGAGAGAGGATTCAGTGAGTTACTCTAGAAATTTCAGTAAAAATCCCATCTTTATCTCCGGTGGTGACAAGGTTACTTTCTCTCTCTCAATTGGTTTTCTTTCATACATGAATCATAATGATGAATCTAGTTTCTATGGGATGTTTGATTGTTTTCAATACTATGATCTCTTGGTAATCTTTAGCCACTTGTCCACTTGATCATGTTGTCCTGAGCTAAGACAAAAGAAAATAGGCTTTGATTGTTGTTAGCTAGCTGTTACATTGTCCGAGTCTGTGACTGACCATATAATGATCAAAAGTTTTAGAGCTTTATGCATTTATAAGCAATGTTCAAGAAATAGCTAGGCGGTTATTAGATGTTTTACATGGGAGTATTGATTAAGCGAATGTCTAGATGAATTTTGGAACGCTTAGACTGATTTTTTTTTAAATTAATCTTTAAGTAAAATCGTTTATGTCTAATTTGCCGCCTATACTGATTTTTAGAACACTGTTTATAAGCATTGGTTCGGATACAATTATTTGAAATCTATCTATTTAAATAAAGAACTATACTTTCCCTATGGGATTTTTGGAGAATTTCTACTTCTGAATGATAGCTAGTGTAGCAGAAAACAAATGGTTATTTGACTTCTTCTTCCCTCTCACAAATGGTAGGACTTCAAATCGTGCTCAGTTGATTGCGCAATTGGAAGGAACTCAGATAAAATCCCGGATGCAGCGTTTGGATTACGTCATCAACCTGGAACACTCAATATAATACGTTCCATGGAATCAGCAAGATACTACCGTGATAACAATCTTGCTCAGGCACGACGGTGGGTAAGCACAATCTTTACTGTACGTTAATACTTTCTAGACTACATTTAAAATGCCTTGTAAAAGTATTATCCGACATTTTCATGTTTTGTTGTTCATCAGGAGAGGTTATGATATTGTGATGACAACTAGTTTATCATCAGATGTTCCCGTTGGGTATTTCTCATGGGCGGAGTATGATATTATGGCTCCAGTGCAACCAAAGACAGAGAAAGCTCTTGCTGCTGCTTTCATTTCTAATTGTATTGCTCAGAATTTTAGGTTGCAAGCTCTTGAAGCCTTGATGGAGGCGAATGTTACGATTGATTCTTATGGTACTTGTCACCGGAACCGTGATGAGAGAGGTATGTATTGAGTCATTGCTAGTGGAACGTTTCTGTGCTATGACCGTATCTCTGAAGTTTCTTGAACTAATACATTTGAAATTGTTTATAGTGGAGAAGGTTGAAGCTCTTAAGCGCTACAAGTTCAGTCTAGCTTTTGAGAACACCAATGAGGAGGATTATGTCACCGAGAAGTTATTCCAATCTCTTGTCGCTGGTATGCATTCCTCTCCATCTCCCTCTGCTGATATTTCAACTTTAGTGTCTGCTTCGAAGAGAGAACTATATGAGCACACACGACCCTGGTTAGCTTAGGGCTGTACACTCGGGTTTATGGTTCGGGTGGGTTATTCGGGTTTTGTGTTATTCGGATTGGGTGTTTAGAACCAAACATATTTTGGATCAGTACGGGATAATATCGGGTTCAGGTTTCTATTTTTTATAAAACCCGAACCGAAACAGAATTGAATTAGAAATGATACGGATTTGGTTCGGGTTCGAAAAACCTAAAAATCCCCGAAAACCCGAGTTACACTCGGGTAATTCGGGTTTTTGGATCATTTTCGATTTATAAATTATATTATTTTATAAATAGTTTTTTTAGTTTGGATATTCGGGTATCCGTTCAGTTTTCGATTTGGGTCAGTTTCGTTTTTTCGGGTTTAGAGGAATAGGAACCTTTCAGGTTTTTTTTAAATTTCGTTTTGGTTGTTTTGGGGTTTTGGATAATATGCCCAGGACTAGGTTAGCTACTGGTAGTCATCTTGCATGATCTTTGAGCGTATTGTCATGTAAATCGATGAATGATGGATGATATGTAGAACTATATAACCTAGATCATCCATACATGAGAGCATTGAGACAGACAGTCCTGTTATCTATTTCTGATGAGCAGTTTATGATCAATTTCTCTCTTAGGATCCGTCCCTGTGGTTGTTGGTGCTCCAAATATTCAAGAATTTGCACCATCTCCTGATTCCGTCCTTCACATTAAACAGATGACTGATGTAGAGACAGTTGCAAAGAGAATGAAATATCTTGCAGATAATCCTGACGCCTATAATAAGATGCTAAGGTACGGTAAAAAAACATGTTCAGACATTATTGAAAAGCTTCAAAGCTTTGTTGTCTTTTATTAGATGGAAACAAGAAGGCCCTTCAGATTCTTTCAAGGCCCTTGTTGATATGGCTGCTGTACATTCCTCTTGCCGTCTCTGCATTTTCGTGGCTACAAGGATCCATGAGCAAGAAGAGAAGAGCTCTGAGTTTAAGAAACGACCCTGCAAATGCACTCGAGGCTCAGAGACAGTCTTTCATTTGTTTGTTAGAGAAAGAGGCACGTTTGATATGGAATCCATCTTCTTAAGGTAAAGGCAGCATTAGTTTTCTTGTGCAGCTCTTATTCTAAACCCTGGAACGTTACTAATACTTGTCTCTTATCTCTATGTTTTTGGACAGTGATGGTAATCTGACTCTGGAAGCTTTGGAATCTGCGGTTCTCACAAAGTTCAAGTCTCTGAGACATGTACCGATATGGAAGAAGGAAAGACCTGAGAGCTTAAGAGGAGACGGTATGCTTAGAGTACATGCGATATACCCGCTTGGTCTGACTCAAAGACAAGCCCTTTACAACTTCAAATTCGAAAGAAACTCAAGTCTCAGTAGTCACATACAGAGAAACCCTTGTCCCAAATTCGAGGTTGTATTTGTCTAAGTTTTATGCAGACCTGGTTAATGTTTAGATTAAAGATAAAAGTGTATTTTTCAAAACAAAACAAAAAATACATCATTTTTTTTTTTTGTCTTATTTGGTTTCACATCTTTTAGAAGATTTTGTAGACACTAACATCTTCATATCAGCTTTAGCAGAGTTAGAAATATTGCATGGATCTTATACTTGTTTGACATGTTTTCTAACATCTTTTTTCTTTTGTTTCTTTCATTGTGTGTGTGTAAAAAAGCAACGAGATCTTTAATACGAGTCATGATGATGATGATGATGATGATATGGAATGTAAGTGGGAAAATCTAGAAATCAGATTTTTCTCTCACAATGACAGAGAATCCACTGTCTGATTTGCCTCGAGCATGATCTTTGACTAAAAGTCATTTTGGATTTTGCCTCATCATGCATCTTCTTCTTCTTTAGTTTTTGTCTCATGTTGTTGTGTCATTTACACTATCATTTAACTAGGATCTATGAGTAAGAACAAGGTGTGGGTGGATTACGCATTTTGTCACCTATGTGTTTTTATTTATTTGATGTTTACAACGTTTTAAGTTATAAGAAGGAACTTGTTGAAACAAAATTTGCAGAAGTAGTTTGTTAATAAACTAGTCTAAGAGAATGACAGTCCAATAATCATTCTCATTGATGAGAACTTATTTGATTTTACATTTTAAAAATGTTTTTAATATCGATGTAGGTTATATTTGTTCTGAAATCAAAATATACAAATTGAAACAAAATTCCTTGTTTAAACTAAATGACATTAATTTTTGACGGAAAATGATATATTATGGATTTTTAAAATTATATCAATATATAAACCAAAAAATGGGTAATACTATTTTCATGGATAAGATAGAACTATCAATATGTGAATCCATTGAACTGTATAATATCTTTCACATTCAGTATTCAATGCGTAGTTAAAGTACACAAAGTTATAAGAAAAAATCTCTAATAAGGTTTTATATTCTTTTATCACAACTTAATTCTTAAAATACTAAGAGAGCCACAAATTGAAACTTTGTATAACCATTCCTAGTTGTACACCGATTTAGGTTCATTTTTTAAGTTTTATAAAAGTTCTTAAGGTTTAATTTGTCTAATACTAAAATGTAAAACGTAATACTTGTCAAACACAGCAACTTATAATTTATTATGTATACAAAGAGATGTTGGTATATGACACTATCACGGATAAGATGGAATCATAGATCTTTGGTTCCGTTTCACTATGATCTATTGTTCACACCTTTTCCCTTTTCTTATTCGATTTTACATGCAGTGAATCTATGTGGTTAATATCACATATAGGCAAAGAGATAATGAACTAGACATGAGTGGAGTAGAGTGAAGAGAGTAACAAACTTGGCAATGATCTTGGTTTTACTCTTTTCTTCTTCTTTTTCTCTCATTTGTTTCAATTCCAATCTTGTAACTTTTTCTTAAACAACTTTCTGCAAATAATTAGTTTTTATTTCCTCCAAAATTAATCACTTTATAGACAATTTTCAATTCTTGCGTATACCAAAAGTGGCTAAAAACCGTTAAATCTCCATCTTGTTACTGTGTCCCAAATTCGCTGATAAGTAATATGCGTGCATCCCACAAAAATGTACAAGACCAATGATATACTTGAAACATGCTTCTGTCACATTTCAACCAAAGCTTGTAGTATCTTTATCATAATGATATCTTGTTATATATTCACTTAAGGGTACAATGTATTCACTTTAATTGTTCGACATTTATGAGCCAGACACATGTCTTCAAACTATGCATGGTTTTGTTGCCGTTGAAACTAATTGTCAGTGGGAATATTAGTGTTAACCTAATCACGTTATATAGCAAACATGTGTTTATTTTCTTAAAACATCTACATCTTTTATAATGATCAATGTTTTTTCCTGTCGTGTGTGAGTTATAGACACCCGTACACGGGTATGAACTATGAACTATTGTTATAACACCATTAATACTACAAACTTTTGTGATATAGAACGATTGGTGCTTTATATCTATTCAAATTGTAAATGTTGCATATCTCTATACGCTTGTATTATTGTGTCATGTGGATATACATAGAAAGTATAAAATTAAGATAACAGAGGAAGAGCCGTACAGAAATGGAAGAAATATAAGTAAAAAGGAGAAGATTCAATATCATGCTGCAAAGTCTCTAAACAATTTGGAGTGTCTATGAGTCATCCCTCTTTGTGCTTAATGTAAACCTCCCAATCATTACCCACACTCACTTTATACATCTTTCGATATATATTAACATAGATATCATATAATTCTAAACACTCAATACATAACATGGATATGTATTGTTGGAGAAAAAGAAAAGGGAGGCATTATTGATCATTAAAGGTATGGTGTATAAGAAGCAATGGAAAGATTTATTTTCTACATGCGTGACCTTAAGAAAATATATCTGTTTCTTAAATAATTGTTTTAAATATCTACATTTCTCCTACGCGAAATACATGGCACGAATAAGTAAAAACTAAAACCGATAAACAAAGAAATGAAAACCGAAGCAGTAAAAACTTTTTACTTCAAAATTTGGTAAGGTTTATAAAACCGGTATGGGAAGGAGACCAAAACAAAAAAAGGAAAAGGGCTTTACTCGTGTCACTGCCTTGCATGGCAAGTACTACGATTCCAACATTTTTAATCATTACAAGAATCCTTTGTTGTTGATTTAATAATTATTAGAACAAAAATTAAAGGACTTGGCAAAAGAGAGTGAGAGCATATTAAGGTGGAGCCAGGTCAACAATTGCAATTTGACTACAAAATTTATATGAGATATTAGCGCTGGGACGTATCTGGATATCCGAAAAATTTAAAGTATCCGGATTCGTCGGATCCGTGATTTTAATATCCAGATTCTTGTCTTCCGGATATCCGGACTTCAGTTATCCGTTTAGATATTGTGATATCCACAGATATTCGGATTCGGATTCGTATCCGTAAAAATAATTAAAAATTTTAAAAATATTTAAAAAAAAAAAAATAATACATAAACTAAATATTTATGCATAATTTATGAATAAATATATGACATATAATATTATTAATATCAAAAATAATATTATAAACTTATTTTATATACAAATATTAATATATCAGATATAATTAATAATAAAATAAAAAATTTAGTATATTTTTTAAAATACGAATCCGAATCCGGATATCTGGACCTAAAAATTAAGATATCCGGATCCGTTCGGTTTGCACAGATTCAAGATTTTACTATCTGAATTCGGAGCAGGGTACCTCCGGATATCCTAATTTCAGAGCGGATCCGGATCGGATCTCGGAAGTATCTGAATTCCGGGTAAAAATCTCAGCCCTATGAGATACCCATAGGCATCTATTTTTCAATCTCCCCAAAATATATTAAAATTCTCAATAGTTAATTAGATGCATTAGTTCAATGGTTCATGGTTGGTCCCTGATGATAAATAGCTTGTATATCTTTTTATACTGATCAACACGACTACATATGAAGAAACATGTTCTTAATAGCTAAAAGCATTCATGCATCGGGTCAGGTGTTTACTTTGAACCAGTTTTCAGTTCAATTTCAGGATTTGATCACTTCGCAGGTATATATCACATACCGTGGAAACCAAGAGTTGTAGAGAGGATAGGCCTTTAATTTTACTTTATATATAATACAGTCAGAATTCGATAGATATATATGATACTAAATAATAGTTTCGTGAAAAATATATTGTAGACGTGAATTTTCATGCACAGTCACGAAATGTAATAAAATAAAAATATATTATTGACATGTTTGTGATAACATTTATTTATTTTACACAATACTTTTAATTTTTTAAATTGTAGGATTATTGTTTGTTAGTTTGCTTAGTAGAAATATGTTTTTTAATAGTAAATATTTTTTAAACAAAAAAATTTAGCAAAAAAAAACTATATTAAATTAAATCCGATTCAGAAAACTAAATCGGTGAAATAGTATTCGTATAAAACAAATTTTGAACACCTCTTACAAATTTATCCTTTTATGTCGTATTCTTTATATTTTTTATATATATTTGATCAATAAATTATAGAAATTGTTTTACTTAATTCATTCGATTAATCAATCTGAGAAGTGATAGTTATTGTATGAATGACTGATTAACAGTGTGGAGAGGATGAAATATTCGTCAATGACCTCTTAATCCGATGTTATCTTGCCATCCAAACATGGGCATTATCGGAGGCCATCGGCTCCAGGACAGTTCTCAAGTGAATCTATCTAAGAGAATGTTGATTTCCTCTTCCTTCGAGCACATGTGAGAGGTGTGCCCTTACATAGCCTAGCAAAATTTCCATGGAAAATGTGGTACTTATAATAAAATCATAAAAAATAAGTTTTTCAATGGAAAAGATATTTCACCTAATGATACATTATAACTAGTCGTTCAAAGTTTAGAATATGGCTCAAGAAGTATTTGGAGAGGCATGAAAGAAACTCCAATCGAATAACCGAGAGGAGAGGGATGAATTGCACAAGTCCAGATGTCTAGTGGACGAAATTTGGATGACCAATCAAGCTATTTTTGCTGAAGGCATGGTCGCGGAACTGGTCACGAGAAAAGTCGTTTATGGTTCAATAAGAAGGATTCATGTTCTTTCACCATAATACGCGTAGTTAACACGAAAAATAATTTGACCAATTTTAACTGTAGAATAAATCTGTTTATTTGGTTGATGATAAAAAAAAAATCTATTTATTTTCGTTCTGTGTTTATTATGTTTTTCGTGATTTTAATTTCCGTGTAAATTTTTCATTCCAAAAGAGCCCGAGCAAAGTTTTATAAAATTTATTATGTAAATATTACAATTCTAAATGGGTTACCTTCGTGAATTAGTTTAGTAATATAGAGTTTAATGTAAAAAAAAAAGTGCTTGCCGTTGTTAATGGAAGTCTCCAGATCCGACCAACTAAGCGAAACAAACAA